CCCCTAACCCAGGCAGAAGCTGGGGTCCAGCCCTGCTGGGGGAACCCATCTGAGCCAGCCCTGGTTGATATTCCCTTCCCCAAACCCTTTCCTTCTCCAGGCATGTCCCATGAACATGTACCCACACGGACGCAGTGGAAGAACCGTGCAGGAGATCTGGGAGGATTTCTCCATGAGCTTCACACCCGCTGTGCGGGAGGTGGTAGAGTTTGCCAAGCACATCCCTGGCTTCTGTGATCTTTCTCAGCACGACCAGGTCACGTTGCTTAAGGCTGGCACCTTTGAGGTGAGTGACCCTTTGTGCTCCTTGCTCTTGACTTTGGGAAGGATCCGGTGGAAAGACTTGGTGTCTGGGATAGGCAGGGGCTCTGAAAGGCTTTGGAACCCTGGTATCTCTGTCCTGGCAGACTCTGACTGCTGAACGAGGGGGCAGAATCCCTCACTATCCCTGTCTTGGGATGGCTGGGTCTCCTGTCATCTCAGCTGGGGTCTAATCACATCCCGTTACCTTAAAATAACATCTTCGGGCACATTGCTGCCCCCTTCCAGGCATGAGCAAATTCACTTGGGTGAACTTTTGTGACCTTGCCCAAGGTCACGGGGAGTGACAAAGCTAAGACTCCCCGCCCCACTGCCCATTCAGAAACCACCCCCACTCTTTCCTGAGAAACCTAAGGCAGCACCAGTTAAACCCTCTGGAAAACTTCAGGGGCAATTGGGCAAGTCACCCCACCCGAGGATGACAGTCCTTGTCCCCCCCCACCCCCCGCTTAGGTGTTGATGGTGCGCTTTGCATCGCTGTTCAACGTGAAGGACCAGACAGTGATGTTCCTGAGCCGCACCACCTACAGCCTGCAGGAACTCGGAGCCATGGGCATGGGGGACCTGCTCAATGCCATGTTTGACTTCAGCGAGAAGCTCAACTCCCTGGCGCTTACCGAGGAGGAGCTGGGCCTCTTCACCGCGGTGGTGCTTGTCTCTGCAGGTAGGTCAAGCTCTCGCCTGAGCCTGACCCCGGGGGAGGAGGCGGACGCAGTTCAATTCAACACACCTTTTATGGAGTACCTACTCTATGCCAGGCCCTGCACCGGGCACTGGGGATACAGACATGATTCAGACACAGTCTAGCTGGGGAGACAGACTCATGCCCGACTAATTATAAAACAGTGAGATCAGTGTCACAGTAGAAGCATGAACCAAGGGCTTTGGAAGCACAGACAACTATTTCTGCCTGGGGGAGCTGGGGAAAGAGGTGACACTTGAGTGGGGCCTCACAGGACAAGTAAGATACTGCCAGGCAGAGAGGGGGAAGGGCATCCCGGGCAGAGGGAACTACAGAGCAAAAAGCAAGGGAGCCTGGATGCGTTTGGCCCGTTCAGGGAAGGAGAGTGGCCTCGTGGGCTGGGAGGTGACCAGCCCCGCTGAGCCTGCGCTCCCAGCTTTCAGCCACCTCCTGCTGTCGGGGCAGAGGCCTGGGGGGAGGAGTTGCATTCCCCTCCTCCTCCTTCTCCCCCCCCCCCCCCGTGGGCCCTCTGAGGGGCGTCAGGGAGAGGGTGCACCAGCAGCGGTGCCGGCAGCGGCCGCGTCCTCCTCCTCCTCCTCGGGGACCTCCGCGGGGACCTCCTCGGAGACCTCCTCCGGTTCCTCCTCAGAGGAGCTCAGGGAGCCTGCCTCACTGCTGTCGTCTTCCCCACAGACCGCTCGGGCATGGAGAATTCCGCTTCGGTGGAGCAGCTCCAGGAGACGCTGCTGCGGGCTCTTCGGGCTCTGGTGCTGAAGAACCGGCCCTCGGAGACTTCCCGCTTCACCAAGCTGCTGCTCAAGCTGCCGGACCTGCGGACCCTGAACAACATGCATTCCGAGAAGCTGCTGTCCTTCCGGGTGGACGCCCAGTGACCCGCCCGGCCGGCCTTCTGCCGCTGCCCCCTTGTACAGAATCGAACTCTGCACTTCTCTCTCCTTTACGAGACGAAAAGGAAAAGCAAACCAGAATCTTATTTATATTGTTATAAAATATTCCAAGATGAGCCTCTGGTCCCCCCGAGCCTTCTTGTAAATAACTGCCTCCCTCCCCCCCCATCACTGACCCTCCCTCCCGGCCCCCCCCCTTTTAAAACCACTCTTCCCTCCCCCCCCCACCTTATTCTCTAGCCCCCCGATTTGTTCTATTCCTGTCTCAAATCCAATAGTTCACAGCTGAGCTGGCTTCTGTGGTGTGTGCTCGTTTGGGGGGCTGGGTGGAAATATTGCCAAGCCTGGGGCACACCTCTCCATCTGGTCAGTTGGTGGGGTGGGTACTCTGCCAGCAGATGGGAGGATACAGGGAAACAGCACACAAGTCTAAGGGGGGTGCCCAAGGGGGTTATTTTCATCATATATTTATTACATAAATATATAGTAAAATAGACGAGCAACAATTACCATAAAAATATCTTTCTTTAAAATCCTGACCCAAAACACAACGGGGTGAAAAATCGCACGTAACAGACATACTGATTGTCAACGTGGGGCAGGAGTAGGAGCCCCCCAAGTCACCCCTACCGGCCCCCCTCCCCCCTCCCTGGGGAAAGGGGACCTACCTCCTTCCCTGTTTCTGGCCACGACCCCCCTCCCCCCACCCCAGCACCAGCTTCTCATACATTCAGTAGCGCCTCCAGGGAAGTGCCCCCTCCCCCCACCCAGGAGTTCCTGGGGCAGGAATTACTGTCCCCCTTATGGACGGTGTCTGTGTCACACGCCCTGCCCTCTCCCAGCCCTGTAGACCCGCCACCAGGGGAAGGGGTAGGGGCTCCTCCACCCCCACCCTCCCCAAGGCTGAGCAGGGAGGAGGCTGGATGAGGTATGTGTGTTCTGAGTGATGGGGGGGGACACTGAGATGGAGAGGCGGGGTGGCGGGCACGGGGGAGTGGTCATGGCTCTGGCACCCCCTTGTCCTGGCCTGGCCCCTTCCCAGCGGTCCCTCCTCCCACCAATACTGCACCTGCTGCCCCGCCCCGCCTGCCCTAGTGCCCCGGGCCAATACTGGGAGAGGCATGCTAAGCACCCACGTCAAGGCCATCCCCCACATTAGCACCAATGGCCCCCAGGAGAGGGCCCTGTCCCCCACTTCCAAAGCAGGGACTGGGACAGCTGCCTCTCTAGAGCAGGTGCGTGGTGCTCCTGAGTCCCCCGGCCCCTGCCCCACCACGTGTACTTGCTCACACATTCACGCAGAGAAACGCACACACACACCCCCCCATCACCTAAAGTGGGGGGGGAGGGGTCAGAGATGGGGGGAGGAGTAGGGGATCACAGCTCATATGATTGGGGGAGGGGAAGGGGGGAGGGATTCCCAAGTGCCTGTAAGAGGCCAAGCCCCTTCAAGGCCTTTTCTCCACCATGTCCATGGCTGAGAATGGGGATGGGGCAGGGGGTGGGGGGAGCTGAGGTGGGGATGGAAGGGTGGGGGAGACAGCAGACAGGTCAGGAATTCCACTGGGCCCCCAGGGGTGGTGCACCCCCAAAGGAGGGTACGAGAGGGCTTACCCATGGGACTGGAGTAATACAGGAATCAGTACCCCAGGAGAGAGAGAGGATAGAGACAGACAAAGACAGCAAGGGCAGCCCACGAGCCCAAGGGGGGCAGGGCAGGCACATGCACAGGAGACCGCAGATGTTCTTCCAGGCCCTCCACCCCCGTCAGAACACCTGGACAGTGGGGGAAGGACATGCCCTGTTGGGCAGCATAGCATTGCCTTCCCGTGCGTGCGTGCGTGCGTGCGTGCGTGTGTGTGTGTAGGGGGCTGTGGCAGGCTGAGGGTCAGGGTGGGATGGCAGGTTCCCCACAGCTTAAGACATTTTTGCCCCTATAGTGCAAAGCGCAGGAAGCCCTGGCACCCCTCCCCCTGCCCCTGCCCCATTCCCCATGGCTTCCGGGGGCATCTAGGTCCACCCATCCATCCCTGCCGACAAGCAGCCCTGAGCCCAGGGCCCTCTGGTCTGCTCTGTCCCTCCCCACCCTCCTCCCCCCACCCATGGGAGGGCTACCTCCTCCCTCCCTCTCTCCCCTGTGGAGTGGGCAGCGGGCAGTAGCCAGTAGGAAGGGGAGGAGGGCAGCTCACCCAAGTGCAGACCAACAGAGCACTCCTCACCAGGAGGGTGGGAGGTGGCTCAAGCCAAAGTCCCTGAATTAGAGAAAAGAAGAGGGGAAAGGGGTCCTAGGGGCAGAGGGGCGGCTGGCCTAAAGAGCTTCAAAGAAAAAAGGAGCACCAACCGCCCCCGCCCCTGGGGCCCCAACTAAGTGCCATTTGTCTAGGCACCCCCATTCTGGTGCCTGCCTGCCCCGAATCTGGGTTAGTGCATTGAGTGGGAGTGGGGAAGAGGGCAGAGGTTAGAGAGAGCCCAGAAGACAGAGGGGGACAGGGTCCTAAGGGGGTGGAGGCTCTGGGAGAAGCTCACGCATACCGCCCCCCCGCCCCCTCCCCCAGCGCAGCAGCATCTGGATTGTAGCTAATACTGCAGATGTGAGGAGGGCAGAAGTTGGAGCCACAGTTTTTCCTGTGTGGGTGCCAAGGTGTGGAAGGAGTGGGGGGGGGCAGGGAGAGGCCCCTGGGGCTGGGCACTTGAGAGGGGAGCTGTGTGGGCAGCGGGGCAGGCTGGTGAGGGGCCAGCTGGCATCCAGCGTGAGAGGTAGATGGAACTCAGCGGGCACGAGTGGCAGAGAGCAGAGGGAGCACTGGGCTGGGGGGGGGGGGGCCGAAGGGGCACTGAGGGAGGGGCAAGGCAAGGAGGGATGGCCAGGACCCTGTTGTGTTAACTCACAGCTCTGATCGGCAGCCCTACCCTCGGGGACCTGGTATGGGGGGCAGTTCTCTCTGATTTGGGGGGAGGAGGGGCAGCTCTCAAAGTGCTTAGGGGTGGTAGGGGGCCAGCCTCGGTTAATAACTTAATATCATCTCTCTCTCTCTCTCTCAGTCGCTCACTCTTTTTTTTTCTTTTTCTCTCTGTCTAGTTTTTCTTCATTTATCTTCTCCCCTTGCCTGGTTTCCAAAGTGCAGTTAGAATGACTAATTTTTAACCTCCAGGGGGGGAGGAGCCAAGCCAAGCCTTTTCTTTGCACCCAGGCATCTGGGGGAGCAGAGAGGCTCTTAGCCTGGAGGGGGAACTTCGGTCAAGGAACTGGGCAGGGGGGCTCTCTCGTGTGTGTGTGTGTGTGTGTGTGTGTGTGTGTGTGTGTGTGTGTAGGGGCTGAGTTGAGGGCATCTTCCCCCCACCCCACATTCCTCCATCCCCTACGGTCAAGATGGCTTGTCCCCTCTTAGGTCTCCCTCCCTTCCCCTACCTTCGTAGAGGATGGGGTCCTGCGAACTGCAGGACACTGTCCCCCAGCCTCCCACACTGTCCTTTTCATAGCAAGTTCATGTGTTTGCCCTGTCCCAGGGCTGGAGGTTCTGAGGAGGGACGGGCAGTGCAGGGGTGTGTGGGGGAGCTGAATCTATCCGAGGACGAGAGGAAGGAGAGAAGAGGGGTGGGGGGCCTCCCTCAGCCCCCAGCTCTGCCCCTTCTCTCCAGGCTCCTCCCCACCAGCTCCGCACACCCTCTGGCCGCCTGAGGCTTTAGACTTCCTGATCCTCAAAGACCTCGAGGAAGAGTGGGGGGAACAGTTCGGTGGGGCACTCGACTTTCATGTGGAGGAAGCGGCTGGCGTGGCAGGCCCCGATCATGCGGAGGTCAGTCACCTTCATCAGCAGCTTGGGCCAGAAGTGCGGAATGTTGTGTTTGCGGTGGTTGACGTAGTGCTCGAACGCCAGCAGGTACGCCTCCTGACTCTTCTCGATCTTGTCCACACACAGCAGGCCCGAGCGGTCTGCAGGGGAGAAGCGGCATGAGGGTGAGCGAGTGGAGGGAGACGGAGGTAGAGAGACTAAGGTGGGGAGGGGGAGAGAAACACAGACAGGGCAGTGCTCGTACACGAGCAAGAGCCAGGGCTCAGGAGGAGGCTGAGGCGCTGGGGGTTTGGAGCGATAACGAATAAAGAAGACAGAGGGACGGAGAGGTGGGAAGAGAGGGGAAACCTGGAGACAGGGCAGGACTAGGGGCAAAGAGGAGGGCTGGTGGGAAGTGGAGCAGAGGGGACGAGGGGCAGGGAGAAGGGCCTGAGGACAGAGGAGGGACGGGGGACAGAAGGTACCTGGGGGGTGGGGGAACAAAAGCAAATGTGGGCAACAGAGAGCGGATGGGGGAGCCGAGAGAAAGAATGGGGTGAAGATGGGACAAGGAGCAGAGGCGGCATGGGGAGGCAACAGATGGGCCTGGACATCAGAACCAAGGAGGGGATGGGTGTCAAGGAGGGGACAGGGGACAGAGAATGGGCCCAGTGACAGAGTAAGCTTGGGGGACAGAGACAGACTATAGCATTCAGGGAAGAGGAGAGTGACGGGCCCAGGGCCCAGACAAGCTCCAGGCCCCTGGAAGCTACTGAGCCCTCCCAGCCAGGAGGCAGGTACCTGTTGACATTAGCAGCACAGCCTGCAGCAGAGCCACTTCCGTATCATCCAGGTTAAAGGCAGAGAGTGACTTGCCCAGTTCAAAGATGGCGTCCGAGACTACGCCTAGGCCGCCATTCTTGAGCTGCTCCCGCTTGACGGCCATCTCCCCGCTCAGCGTCAGGGTGTCGCTCTCGGGGTCATAGCGGACAGCCGCCCGCAGGGACATGATCTCCATGCAGCACCCCTTCAGGAGGATGATCTGGTCTTCGCAAGGCAGCTGCGGAGTGGCAGGGCCACAGGGACATTCAGCACGTCCCTCCCTCCCCGCGAGTGTCTCCTGGGGTTGTGCTTTGGGAGCTGTGAGGTCCCCACCGGCCTCAGCCAGTAAGGTGTACTCTGAACAGCTAACCTTGCTCTGGGCCGCGGGCATGCCCTTCGTCATTAAACCTCACAATTATGCCTATGAGTTAGCTCCCATCATTATCTCCAGCCCGACTGCAGAGGGCGAAAGTGAGGTACGCAGTTGGGTAACATGGCCAAGGACACACAGCTAGTAAGACAGCCTGTGCCCAGAGTTAGTGTTCTTGAAAATGAGAACGTTCAAGCTGCTGGAGCCAGGATGGCTATGTAGATGTCGGGGGAAAGGGGCAGGTGGGGGTTGGGGAGGCTGGACACTTGGAGCCTCTTGGTTCCTTAGGCACTGGCTAGCTGTGTGTGCGTGTGTGTTCGCTATGTGTTGATCTACAGGGATTGCTCCCTGTCCAGAGAACCTCAGATGAGCATGTGCTGACACTGGGTGACCCAGGGAGCAGGACCAGTTCCCCTCCAGTGTGACGCCATGCCTCTTCCCATCTGCCACTCACCTCGGAGAACATGGGCAGTTTTTTGGCAAAGTCCACCACACGGGTGATGGCCGGGGTGATGATCTTGGTAAACTCGCTGAAGGCCTCTAGGTCGACCTTGTCTCCATCCGGCATAGAGACGATGGGTGACTGGCCGATGTCATCCGGCTAAGGGAAGAGACAGGGGTCAGCTGGGGCTGCAGACCCCTTTCCACCTCTCACTGAGGCTCCCTGCCCACCAGGGGGAGCTCCAAGGCAGGATGGGGAGGAGGGGCCGCCAGTTCCAGGGGACTGCTGTGCCCTGGGCCTAAGGCTTCTCATTCACCTTGGGGCAGAGAATAGATCAGAGCCAGAGTGACAAGTCGGCTAATAATAACAATGATCATAACAGTAGTAGAAGTAATATCATAATAATAGAAGCTAGGTTTATTGAATATTTAATATGCAGCTAGGCACGAGGCAACAGGTTTTATATATCTCATTTAACCTTATGAGGAGGATGTTCTACTTACCACCATTTGACAGATGAGGAAACTGAGGCATAGGGCAGCTAAGTAATAAGCCCTAGGTCACACAACTCGTAAGTGGTAGAACCAGGATCAGAACCCAGGCAGTCTGACTCCTGACCATTAATACCCACATGTGCTTGGTCTTGGAGCCCGTGCTCTTGGCAGTATACTGTTCCACCCACTGGCACACTCCCCCCAGGAACCAGACGCCAGTTCTCTTGCCTTCACCCGCCACATACAACCAACTGTCCATCTCTTCCCTAGCCGGCCGTTCCCTTAGCACTCAGTTTTGCCAGGGCCTAACACAATGCCTGGCACCCATCAGGTGCCCCCAAATGCTGTTACATAACTGTGTCCTCACCTTCTCCTCCCAGTCACTGTGGGCAGGAAAAAAGGGAGAGGTTGCCCCTGCTCTCTGGAAATTCAATGAGGAAGGCCAGGCCCTGTCCTCCTGGGGCCCCCAATCGGATGGAACAGGCAGGGCTCTGACAGCAGCAACCCACACACACGTGCATGACTCAGGATCGCCAAGTTGCAGAGAGCATTAGGTTCGGGTCAGATTAAACTAAGAAGGCTTCCTGAAGGAGGCAAGGCTCTGAGCTCATTCTCCCTCCTGGGCACTTGGCTGTCGCCCTCCGCGAGCCCCCTCCCTCCTTACCAGGAATTTCCGCCTCTGCTTCCAGTGGCTGCCCTGGGCATTCGTGCTGCGATGGGCCTCTGTGGCAACATGGATCAGGTCCCACTCTTCGGGAGTAGGCTCTGGTCGCTGCTGCAGTGATCGGATCATTTCCTCCTTCCGTCGCCGCTCCCGGTTCTGCTCAATCAGCTTTCGCTTGGCCACCCGCTTCGAGTCATCTAGAACCACTGTCAACAGCAGAGAGACATGATGCCCTTTGCATGCCACTCTCCACAACCTGCTCAGAAACTACTCTTCCCAATGTGCAGGTTGGGAAACGGAGGGCCGGAAAGGTTAAGTGACTTCCCAAATCACCTGGAAGTTGGGTGGCACAACCTGGATCATGATAATCAGCTGGGACCACATCAACTCCAATTTGAGCTGATCCAGACAATTATCACGTCCTGGTCTAAAGGGTGACGATGGCAGTGGTTACTAGAAGACCCTGCTACCTGGTCCCTAGCCGATGCAAGAAGCCCTCTCTCCCCCAGAAGTGGTATGCCTTCTCTTGTAGTCAAGAACACTGTGCTAGGCCGGGGTCCTCAGGACTTCTTTCTACCTGGAAACTCTAAGGCCCCGGCCTGCTGAAAGGCAGGTAGGCACCGGGAGGAAGTAGGGATCATGGAGGGATCCTGCTTCCTTTTCCCCAGGGATAAGGGCAGCAGGGACCAAGATCCTGAACACTCACTACACCATCAGCCTGACCTGGATTGTCACTCTGCGCTGTGGGCCCTGAGGATCCCCTGGCAGGAAGCAGTCATACCTGAACCCCCTCGCTCCCCGCCCAGCCACGGCCGCTTGGCGCCACCCCCCCATCCCCTTACAGTCCATGGCCATGCCCACGGCGATGCACTTCTTGAAGCGACATAGCTGGCACTGGTTGCGGGTGATCTTGTCGATGACACAACAGCTGTCATATTTGCAGGAGTAGGTGGGATGGAGGTTCTTCTGGATTGTGCGGCGAAAGAAGCCCTGGGGTGGAGGGAGATTGGAGCATGGAGTGGATCATGACCTCCCCTTCCCTAACCGACCATGCAGTTCACTGGGGCGTGGGGGGTTAGTGAGGGGACCTGGCATCCTCCTGACACCAGCAAGCCCAGGGTCACTTGGCTGGGCCAAAGGACCTTAGAGATACATGTCCTCAGCTCCTAGGCTGTGAAGGGGCAGGGGCGTGTGGGTGGTGGCGGTGGCAGGGGTGAGAATGAGGACCACAGTACAGAGACATGAGCCTGGGATGATGTCAGGTGCTATGACGCCTGAAGGAATAGCAGCTTTGGAAGTCCAACGGATACCTCATTTTCCATCTTGCTAAACAACTCGGAAAATAAAACTGACCCCTGCCCCCCAAACCACCCTTATACATGCTGCTTGCTGCTCATGCAGGTGGAATTCTTGAAATGGGGGGGGGGGTTTAAAAAAATCAAGAAAAGGCATTGTGTATGGACACTTCTAGTAGCTTTAAGAGAAACTGTTTACTTCTATGTATCGGGTTTTGTCTTTGCTTTAAAGGTAAAACCTCAAGAATCAAGATGGCAGTAACAATACCAAGAGCTAATATGTGCTGAACGCTCACTATGAGGCACTTATAAGCCTTATTTATTTTTGGGGGGGGGTGCATCATCGAATTTGATGCTGTGCCAACCCCAAGAGGCAAGAACCCATTTTGAGACTAGGAATCTGAAGTTTGGAGAGATTAAGCAATCTGCCCACAGTCATCTTAGCTAAATGGGCAGGAGAGCCAGAACTGGACCTGAGCTATGGGACACAAGGCCCGAGTTCACAGATCCTGCGGTGCATGGAAATCATCGAATGCACTTAGGAAAAATACCAATTCCTGGGTCTCACTCTAGACCTACAACATCAGACTCTGGAAGGGTGGGGACCAAGGCATTTCTGGCTTTCTGGGATGCTTCTCTGGGACTCGGCTGTCCTGGAGGGACACTGCTTGCAAATGCCTCCAGGAACCCTGCTATGGGACCCTAAGTCCCTGGGGCTCTTGGCTTGGTTGATACTAAGAGAGAGAGCAACTTGAAGCCTTAACACAGTTTTAAATACTTTTGTTTCTTGGCAAGTCTTACATTTTCACGAGGTGATGACCCTGGAAAACCCTTGCAGGTTAAAATGAGCAAAGTGAGATCTAACTAAGGTCCCCCAAGCCTATGACCTTGTCCCTTCTGCCCAGGGGCACCCCGGCATCCTCCCGCTCTGGGCCCCACCATGCCCCCCCCCCCAAGCACTGGTTCTCTCCCTTCTAGGTACAAGGAGAAGCAACTGGGGAACCTGTTTCAAGGCAGAGTCCACAAAGGCTTCACCACGAAAAGTTCTGATTGAGTAGGGTGGGATGGGGCCCGGGGCTCTGCACTGAGCTCGTACTGAGGGTGGCCCCCAGGCCACATTTTGAAACACAGTGTTTGTTTCTAGTGTGCCTCTCTCTGGTAGGCTGTGAGTAGCTGGAGGGCAGGGCATGTGCTACATCCCTCATACCTGATCCACCAAATGGATGGACAAAAGCTGGGGTTTACTGAGCGCTTCTGACGTGCCTGGCACTGTTTTAAATACTCTGTATGAATTAGCTCATTTAATTCTCCCAACAGCTCTCTGAAGTAGGTAGCAGGATTATCCCCATTTTATAGATGAAGAAACTGAGGCCCAGAGAAATTAGGCATCGTACGTATGAGTGGCAGAGCAGAGACTGTGAATGAACAAATGGATGAGAGAGAGCAATGGTGGTGCAACAGGTGGGCTTTAGGTGGCATGTTTATAGGGCTGTCCTTGCCAGGTGCTGAGGGCCTTAAAGCGGGTGAGACGGGGGCTCAGGTGGTGGGGGAGGGGCAGGAGCTGGCTGGTCCATACCTTGCAGCCCTCACAAGTGATGCAGCGGTAGTGATAACCGGTTGCCTTGTCCCCACACACGACACACTGCTCGTCTTTGTCCAGGTAACTAGGGATATACCCTGGGAGGGAGGGAGGAAGGGAGGCAGGCAGGCAGGCATGGTTTGGGCCCCCAGCAGAGAGGCTCCTACACTTTTTCATCCCCCAACTTTTCCTTCCTGGCCCATCCCCTAGCCCAGCCTCCTTGACAGGGTTTTGTGTCCAAGCAGAATCCTGGAGACACATCAGAGGTCACCTTGTCCATCCCCTTCCCTAAGAATATGGAGAATCCCAGTTCTTCCGACTGCCCATTTGGGGATTTTCTCTTGCTGCATCTGAGGGGCGGGGGATGCAGGAGGAGAAGCACCTGTCAGCAGCTTGTCTCAGGGGAATACAGTCCCCTGGCCCTTTAGCCCAGACCCTGATCCAGGGGCACAGGGGGGTTGGGCTCAGGCAAGGGGGTTATTGGAGAAGGGAAGAGGCCCTTCTTGACCTAATCCATCCTCAAAGGCTGGGGCATGCCCTTATCACCCCTCTCACCTCCAGACAGGTCCGTCCCAAGCCCTCTAGGAGGCTCTCCCCAAGGGACACAGGAGCTGCTGGTCCATGCCCAGGCCCCGAAAGAGCCCTGGGCTGGTTTGGCGGGGTTGAGGGTGGGGAAGCAGGGCACACACAGCCAGGCTCACCTGACATGCTGGTTTTCAGGGAACATTGGCCGTTCTTTCTTTTTCGCTTTCCATCTGGTGACCTGGCACTGCATGGGGGCAAAGTGGGCAGAATCACAGACCAGTCTTTGGGCAGCCCCCTTCTCACCCAATAGGTTTATATAATCCCCCAGGCCCGACTCCCTCCATTTTGTGTCCTCATTCTACCTCCACGCCTAGGTCAGCTGACAACACTGAGATGGGTCCAGCTATCTACAAGCTTTGGGGAGAGAGATACAGGGCTTGGCTGAGACACAGCCATGTTCTAGAGCCCAAACACACACATACACACACACACACACACACACACACGCACGTGCGCACGTGCACATTATAGAACCTTAAACACCAATAATCTATAAGATATCCACATGGTTAGGCCTTTAATAACATGACACTTATGCAGAAAGAATTTTTAGGACATGCTTAGAGCTATATAACCTTTAGAACACACACATATACATAACATAAGACCAGCGCATCTGAATAACTATGCAGCCTTCAGTGTAAACCTAAGCATAGTAAATAAGCACCAGGATCTATATACCCATGAAATTTTCAGGGCATTCTCAAATGCATTATCTGACCTCTAGATATGCCCATGGGTTACACAACCCTCTGGACAGATACCTAATAATACCACCCCCTCCCCCCAGTGAATGTGTTGCCTGATTTCCAGGTCATGCTCACATGGTGAATAACCACAGTGATTGAAAACACACAGTGCTGAGCGACTAGAACCTAGAACCTGGAATATGACAGTAAGAAGAGACTTCCAGCGTCACCCTGTTCATGGCCTCCATTTAGCAGAGCAACAAACCGAAGGTCCACTTGTGCCTGGCGACGCCTCGCCGGGGAGTCAGAGCCAGGACAAGCACTCTGAGCTCCTCCATGCAAGGTATTAGCAACCCTCAGCCACTACACATATATGTCACCAGTCTCTGCCCATACATGTTACATAACCTCAGCACACACAGGTTACATAAGCCTCTACATGCATGCACGGATTGTATAACCTCCCACACCCACCCTGCGAGTGGCATGTTGCAGGGCTCCGCCCCCTGGAGCCTGATGCAGGGCCCAACACACTGACACAGTGACCTTGGCCAGGGTCACACAGACGAGTCTATGTTCCGGGCCCCCTGGGGATTACCCCTGTCTGATTTCTACAACCACTGGAGACTCAGAGTTCCCTCCTGCACCCAGCAGGAGTGGGTATGGGAGAACTCCAGGCCCAGTCTAACCCTCCAGTTGAGCTGGCAGTTTTCAACGATGACGCCTCACAGCCTCTGAGTGCAGTCCCAGGGACAGCCACAAGGTGGCGCAGGGACATGGGGGGAGGGGAGAAGGATGGGGGGGGGGGGGATGCAGCGCTGGGGGACCAGGAACCTGCATTCCTGTTTTTCTGTGAATTAGAGGAGCAGACTCGCCCAGACTCACAGAAGTCTGAGCAGGGAGGTACAGAGGCTGCAAGTGAGAGCCCTGCAGTGACAGGCCAGATCTTTTTCAGAGCTCCCCTGGGGTGAGGCTTTGGGGAGGGATACCTGGGGTGTCCCACCGAATTGCCAGCTTCATCCACCTCCTCCATCCCTCCGGGGACCTAGACTTGGGCCCCAAGGCTTTGCCTGGCCAAGCCTCTGGCCTCTTGGCTCAAGATCTGGTCTCCAAGGCAACGGCCACACTCCTCCCCAGAGCACCCCCACCCCCACCCTCTCCCTGGCCATAGGCACAGGCTGTACCCAGCTCTTGGGGCTTCATGCCAACTGGGACAGAGCTCTGTGCCACTTGGGGCCGATGGGAGAAGCGGAGACCCTCTGGGCTCCTCAAGAGCCATGCAGATCACAGGTAACGCATCCCTAGTTGTGTGTGCAGGGCTGATTCCTCCTTCACGTGTGAGTAAACCCTTCAGAGTTGGCATTCACTTCCACTTCCTGGGAGGAGCCCCACGGCAGTGCCCGCTCTTGCCCATGAACAAGGAAGAGCTTGTGGGGCTCCCAATAGGTTCCAAATATAAGCATGGGCTGGGACCAACAGTCACTGGCGCATGTGCCCTGAAATGTCATGTCCCACGCACCATGGTTTCTGGACCACACACGAGTCTGGTAGGGAGAGCGGGAAAGCGGCAAGGCTGTTTGCATTGCACATGCTCAGGTGAGGGCAGCGGAGGGACACTGGGAGGGCATGTGAGATTCCCCAGCACTGTCGAGGAGCCACGTGCCTGCCACCTGTCATTGCTCTGCATTACCTTCCCGCTCAGAAATGGACACCTCTCAAACCAGGTGCCTAATTCCCTGCCACATGTGGCCATGACCTCATCTCCTGGGCAAAGGTAGACAGCAGGCTTGCTGGTCTCATGCCCATCCCTCCAGAGGTGCTTAAAAGGCCCAAGCTCAGCTCTCGTTTGCCCAGGCCGGTGATAAACATGCCTGTTGCCCAGGAACTGGAACGTCCTGGCTGCTAGACCCATTACCTGTTCTCCTCTGGGTCTGACCCACACTCCACCTTGCTTGGCTTCTGTTCCATTCACTTCAATTCCATCCAGGATGCCCTCCAGCACGCCAAGAGACTGGGGTGGGCACAACGGCCCCCCCGGCACACCCACAGGCCACCCACCCCCTGCCACCCAGGCCCTAGGGCACAGCACCCATGGTGCCCGCCTCAGCACTTGGCCTGTCACACCATGCCCTGTGCCCCAAGAGGGGTCGGGCGGTGAGAGGGGCCAGGGAGTGGCAGGTGGTAGGGCTGAGGGCAAGCTGGGTCCGAGGTGGGGGGTGTCTTGGACTGGGGGAGTAGCTTTAGAGTCTTGTCCCGTCCAGAAGTCCCTGCAAAGAGAGGAGAGAGGCAGGGATAAGGCAGCGCCATGGTGGAAGTGGGTAGAAGGATTCCTTTGGTGGCAACATTTTGGGCTCTTAGGGGCTCATCACAAGATGGTGGTGGGCATGGGGAGCAAGCACAGAGAGGGGACCAGGACAACCTGTCAGATCAATAGGTGCAGCAGGCAACACTGGAGATACACATCCTAACTTGGAAAGGTATGGAGGAAAAGAATGAAGGCAATCATATACCACGTCTCAAGCCTGACATTCAGTTAAGGGTCTGGCCCTTGATAAGCGTCCGTTAATCGTTGGCTATTGTTACCACCCCTCTAGCTGAGTTTTTGTAAGACATATCGGTATTATAGGGCAAGAGGGGACCCAAGATGAGCAGTTTTCAGCCCAGGCGTGGGGGGTACCTGAGAAGGAAGGGTGGGGCGTGGGGGCAGCACGCAGGGATCGGGAATGCCCACCTAAGTGCCTTCATGGAGAGAGGTGCTGAAAACAGTGGGGAGCTGACCTCCCCTCTGCTGCTGACGGAATTATGACTCCCCAATCCCAGCCACGACCACCCCCCCACCCCCGCCCAGGACTTCAGAACTTCCTGTACAAGGTCCCAAATCACACTTCCCAGTCTTGAGGACCAGACTTCCCAGTTGGTTTAGCCGGGCTGCCACCCACAAGGACAGCAAGGGAAATGGAAAAGGAAACTACCAGGCCATCTGAATGGATAATATGTGCCCCTCTGAAGTGGGCACCAGAACTCTACAGATGAAGGTGCATGCTCCGACAGCTGGCTCACTCACTCCCATCCACACAGCTAGCAAGCAGGTGGCTCAGGGAGTGGCACCTCACAGCCTGCCTCAAATGTTAGCATCCGTCCACTAGCTGGGGTCCAGCGCAGGGCCAGCCTGGGCCCACCCTCCCATCTATACTGCCCCTCTGACCACAGGCTACAGACCAGAGGCGTACTGTCTGCACACACCGGCTGGTGTGAGCTTGGGAGAGGGGGACAAAGGGTGCAGTTCCCCACACGCAGCCTCCGTCACGTGGCTGCTATACCAGAGACCTCACCCCTGGGCCCCCCGCCCCACCCCCGGGAACTGATAAGGAGCCAGGGTGGGAGGGGAAACAGAGATAAGTCAGGTCATTGGGCAGGGCAGGGCGACAGGACAGGGCCTCTGCACCCAGGCGAGCCCCCCACATGAGGAACGTGGCAGGAGCGCAGAAAGGTGGCCCCTGGTGCCTCTGCTACCCCCTTAGACTAGGACTGGGCACCGGGGGCTGGACAGGAGACTGGGGTTTGGTGGGGGGGCAATGAGCAGGGAGCCTTAGCCCAGGGAGCCGTCAAGAAAGTAGGTCAAGTTTTTCTTGGCTTGTGAAGAAATTCCTGTTATAAATTTATAATGGCGTAGCCAGCCCTAAGGGGTGGAGGTAGGGGAGGAGAAGGAGTGGGTGGGGATGCCCAGGGACTGGGCACTGGGGCCTGCCGCTCTTAGCCAGAGCACTGAGGGGTAGGGGGCCAGGGAAGTCGTGGGGGCTGGGCTGGACAAGAGCGGGCCATTTTCTGTTGCCTCTGTTTCCACTTCTATCTGTGCCCGGCGAGGCTTCCTTTGGTCTGTCCGTCTGCATCTGAATGCCTCGCTCTCTCTGGGTCTCGGTGTCTCCCTGTCTCCCCCCCTGAGGCTGTGCCTCGGTGCTTGGCACACCCTGGCTGCGGTGCAGCCCCCGCCTGTCTCCTGCCCACCTGGCACGCTGCCACCACTTGTTTACAGAAGCTGGAAAAATCCACTCGCCAGCCGGAGGCCCGAGCGCCCCCAGGGATGGGAGGAGGCAAGCACAGGAGTGGGCATGTTGAGAGAGGGGCAGCCCTGGGGAGCAGGCCCTGGGGGCAGGCAAAGAGGGCTAGGGTGTAGGGCATGGGTACTGACCGGTGGGGGCCAGGCCGGGCGGGGAACACCAGCGGCAGCCACATGGCCTGGGCAGCTCCTGCCTCGGGGCCATCGCCCTGAAGGACCCCCTCCTCCCGCACCTCTGCCACTGCCAGTTGCTACAGGGCACACCTGGGGGAGCGCCAACCTAAGCCACCATGTTTATTTTCCCTTCCCCCTCCCCGGCCTTAACTCCAAATGTGTCTGGGCACTGCCAAGGGCTTGC